AAAATTTGCAACCATTTTGCCCACATCTTGAGAATGTTCAGGTAAAAGCACTGAATTAATCCGGGACAAATTGAACCTCTCCATGTTTAATTTGTGGCTGTGTGACATTGTGTCCAGCAACAACAACACAGACTAATACAAATATTAAATGACTAGTTTTAGTGGGGAAATGCCTTAGCAAGTTTAATGTACAAATTTAATGTATGTTACTTCCAACAAAACACCACATTAGGCACTTGGAGCAATTGTCGGGGATGCCAAGATATCTTGTGATGGAAACCTTGGAAATCAACTAGTAGTCTGATACCATATTAGAACAAAATGTGGTCATGCTGCCACCACACAGCCCGCCCATTAGGCTCAGTCAGCCTTGACAGGCCACACCCAGCAGCAAACGGAAGACTGCCTGACCCAGCTGAGTCTGGCCACCCTTAGCTGTACGCCCTGTACTTTCCAAATATCCTGTTTGTTAAGCAGCTTCAAGGACTTTCTTCCCAGCAACTCATGACGACTGCCACTACCCAATAAGAATAGACCACACCGTCAAGCAGCTGTACTTCCTGCATGCAAACCTATGTAAGCCAATACCAGAGCCAGCTCAGGGCTGGCACTCTGGGAGCAATCCCCCATCAGCTCACCACCGTAATCAAGTTGATTGCTCTCCAACTCCTTCGTGCAGGGTGTTTTCCATTCCTTTCAGGACTAGTGCCACAACAAACTAGGATGTGATTAATTATTCCAAAGAATTTACCTTTTACATAAAATAAAATATTCACACATAACCGTAATCCAGAGTCAAAAATCTAAATACTGTCATAGATGTATAAACCACTGATAAAGAACCAACCTTGAAAAAAAAAGAGAGAACCAAACTTGAAAAATATCATTCCTACAACTTGATGTTTTCATCTAGTTATGCACTGAGTAGACAAGGTAACTTTCATATGGAACTTAAAAAAATAAAAATAAAAACACCCTCTCATTATATTGGGTTCCCTGTAACTGATAACTGTGGGACAGCTGTATCACCTGTGTAAATTACTTAAAAAGGGTAAAATTTTGATGTTTTTAGGAGAAAAAGCGTTAGAACATTCCAATGCAATTTGTGTTGCAGTGTCTTCCAGATACTTTGTATAGATCTCAAAATGCCTCAAGCATGCGGACTGTCTAAGCATCCTCAGGAGAAAGTGGCCCATTTTGGTCTCAGAGCTTGCTCTGCAGTTGATGCTTGCAAAAATCCAGAAATCACAGTACGCAGTCATGTCCCAG